TGATTTTGTCACTCCTCAGCTGTTTCCCTAGTGTGATTAGTAGTTAAAAAAATCGTAAAACCAAAAAGTGTCTATGTACTTATCAGGCACAGCCAGTCAGTTGGGAGCTGGCAGAGGTGGCCTCTTGTTACCCTGCTGGACTGCCTGAAAATGAAGGTTTGTGATCTGGAATAGCAGCAGAGATGTAAAGAAAAGAAAAAAATAGAAGTCCCTCCTAATGACTATTATTTACAAGCCAATAATTATGTACTAGGCATTTTTCTCATGCGTATTGTCACTTAACAGCCCTACACAATAAGCACTACTGTTATCCCCATTTTACATTTTGAGGAAACTGAGATTCAGAGAAGGATAGAAGAAATAACTCACCTGAGATTCTACGAGAAAAACAAAAATCTCACAAAGTGGCAGAGGTAGGATATAACCAGGAGCCTTTGGGCTCCCTGACTCAACTCTTTCAACTCCCACCTAATGCTCCCCAACAGGCTACGAGAACAAAGTACAAAAAAGAAAGGATAGGAATTTGAGATGTTACAGAGGCAGTGAACATAAGCCGGAGATACAATCAGTAGGGAACTTAATCCCAGGCCACCTGATTTTACTTAGGAAAGGGCATAGTTATGTGGCTCTTTATGTCCTGGCTTCGGAGTCCCTACCCAGTAGAGATGGGGCCTTTTGGGAGCAACTGGGGGCCATTTCACACATTCCTGCTACCAAACAAGAAATAAAATGAATCCCGGCTGGGCACGGTGGCTCACACCTGTAATCCCAGCACTTTGGGAGGCCGAGGTGGGTGGATCACAAGATCAGGAGTTCATGTATAGTCTGGTCAATCCGGTGAAACCCCATCTCTACTAAAAATACACACACACAAAAATTAGCCAGGGGTGGTGGTGGATGCCTGTAGTCCCAGCTCCTTAGGAGGCTGAGGCAGGAGAATCACTTAAACCCAGGAGGCAGAGGTTGCAGTAAGCCAAGATTATGCCACTGCACTCCAGCCTGGATGACAGAGGTGAGACTCTGCCTCAAAAAAAGAAAAGAAAGAAAGAAAAGAAAAAAGAAATAAAATTAATCCCATAGGCGAAAAGGTATGATCAGAGTTCCTAGGTATCGAGGTGTGAGTTTGTATTACTCTAACAGATTTGGGGGGAGTGGGACCTATGTCATATTTTCACGTGAGTTGTTACCGTTGTTTTGTCTGTTTGTGCTTGCATTTTTTACTGAATTATAGTTCCTAGCCATTTAGGGCTTTGTAGAATATTTAGAGAATTGAATGAAAGTCCTGGACTTTGCCCCAGAAAAATATGTGTGCATACATACATATAATTATGCACATAATTTCAGGAGGGTCATGCCCTTCCCGCAAGAAGCTCATCTACAGATATCCCCCATCCAGGAATCCATAGGCACAGTTTAAAATCTCTAAAAACTGGGTATGACTCCCAGCTCTCCCACTGTTCAGCTGTGTGATCTTAAGACAAGTCACTCTACATCTCTGAGCTGCATTCTAGGCAGCCTTAAAGTGGAGGCAAGAAATTGCTACCCTGGGTCATGCTAATTTTAGAGAACAATGATTGACAAGACCCTCTTTAAGGATTTAAATCAGCCCGCAACCACGGAAGTTTTGCCATCCGAAAATTACATGAAAAAATGGAGAGGGAATTGAGGATTGTTAGCCAGAGAAAGAAAAACCCATAGAAGCCTGCAGGCCCTCTGAAGTGGGTTGAAAGGGTTTTCATGTGAATGAAGATGTAGTCTTATTCTGTAAGAGGCACCAGAGGGGAGACCAGGAGGAAGCAGAGCAGCATGGTGCTAGAGTGATTTAGAGTTGAAAAGACATGGGTTAGATCCAGGTTGGCCATTTACTGGGCAAGTTTTTAATCTTCAAGGGCTCTAAAATGGAGGTGATACTGGTACCCATTTCTTAGGAATTTGTGGACAATCAAAAGAGATAATACATGTAACATGTATGGTGTTAAAACAATGGCAGACCTATAATGGTAGGTGTTAGCTTCCCTAATAAAGCCTCTGACCCTCCATTTCTCTACCTATAAATTGAGGATAATATCTATAGTTGCCTAGGAGGTTGTTGTGAGATTCAAATAAGAAAATTAATGCAAAAATGCTGATCATAGTACCTAATGCATAGATAAGTCCTCGGGGGATGTTAACCACAATTATCACTATGAATGTTTCATTACCAAAAGAACAGTGGGAAGAGAGGAAGTAAGGAGTGAAAGAATTTTATTTCTATCTGTTTTTATGTACCCCTAACAAAAAAGCAAGAGTGTAATGTTTGTGTAATTTAAAATAAATGAATAGTGGTTAAAAGAATATGACTTTTAATTTCAGATTAGAAAGCCAGATAAAATAAAATGATATCTAAAGAGTGTAGAATCAGAGCTAGACATCCCGGACCGGACACCTGAGAGCTGAGTGGCCTTGGGAGATTTAGATAAAACAAAAATATAAGCATTTGCTAAAGAGGGATTAAATGAAGTGGCCCAGGAAGACAACTTGACACTGACCTAGCACATAATACGTGCTCAATAAACCCTGCTTTTCATCCCTAATGACTAAATGTTCCATAGAGACTGACTGGCCTTCTTACACCAACCTCCTCTTCAGGCTAGCAGCAAGGGTTCTCTCTTCTGGCATTTGGTCAAGGAGGAGAGAAATTAAAACTATCAAGAAGCTTATGGAAGGTAAAAATCACATGACCTCTTTATCCCTTGTAATTCAATGTAAAATAGTTCAAGATTTAAATGGAATAAAGGATGATGGTGTTAGAATGCTCTCCCTACTTTCCATCACCTTTCTAGTCACTGCCTTCTCTTTCTTTGTCAGAAAATAGTCCCCTATCCTTACCCCATCCCATAAACAAAGAGGGTTTGGATCTTTGGCACCCCATTTCCCCTAAATTATCAACTCCTAGTCCAGATCTTCTGTTTTCCCACTGTATGAGTTAGTGCAGGCCAAAGCGTCTTAATGTCAGGTCCCCCTGGCATTTCATCCTGAGTTACAGTCTTACTTCAAAACCTGTCCCCTTCCATTCACTCTTGTCTATTTCCTCCAATTCTGTCTTCTGAGCTTTTTCTTTTTTTTTAGACAGAGTGTCACTCTGTCACCCAGGCTGGTGTGTAGTGGCGCTATCTCGGCTCACTGCAAGCTCCGACTCCCAGGTTCACGCCATTCTCCTGCCTCAGCCTCCCAAGTAGAGTAGCTGGGACTACAGGTGCCCGCCATCACGTCCGGCTAATTTTTTTGAATTTTTATTTTTTTAATGGAGATGGGGTTTCACCCTGTTAGATAGGATGGTCTCGATCTCCTGATCTCATGATCCGCCTGCCTCGGCCTCCCAAAGAGCTGGGATTACAGGCGTGAGTCACCATGCCTAGACTCTTCTGAACTTTTGAAAGTGATGTTACATTGTTTCCTTCACAGAATTAAAGGATGCCTGTTTCCTGGGTAATAGAAATATAGAAAGGAAGTCAAACTCTCCATTAATCAGGATAAGAAATGAACAAGATGGGCCGGGCAAAGTGGCTCATGCCTGTAACCCCAGCACTTTGGGAGGCCGAGGCAGGTGGATCGCCTGAGCTTAGAAGTTCAAGACCACCCAGGGCAACGTGGTGAAACCCCATCTCTAATAAAATACAAAAAATTAGTCAGGCATGGTGGCATGCACCTGTAGTCCCAGCTACTCAGGAGGCTGAGGCACAAGAATCACTTGAGCCCAGGAGGCGGAGGTTGCAATGAGCGGAGATCGTGCCACTGCACTCTAACTTGGGCTACAGAGTGAGGCTCTGTCTCAAAAAAAAAAAAAAAAGAACAAGATGACATTTTCTTCTCATAAGATTGAAAAAGTTACACAAATGGTCACATCAAGTGTAGGGAGGATATGGGAAAGCAGATACTCTGTGGGTGGAAAAATAAATTGGCACAGCCTTTTCTGAGAACATTTTTCTACAAGCTATTAAATTTAAAGGTGCACATTTCTTTTAACCAGTAATTTTTACTTTTTGGTCCCCATCCTAACTACAGAAACACTTGCATGAATGTTTAGGGAGGCACGCATGTCCTAGGATGTTCACTGCCGCACTGTTTATAAAAAGGAAACACTGAAACAACCTAAATGCCCCTCAATAGACAAGAAATACTGTGAGTACTCATAATATGAAATACCACACAGCAATTTGACATAATGATACATATCTACATAGATTAAAGAAGAAAGTGGACCAATATATAACAATAAGTGAATAAAACAAAATTCAGAATGCTGCATATAGTGTGATAACACTGTTTAAAAACATGCACAAAACTGAACTATATATTTCTATATCTATGTAGACACATAAGGGAATGGAAAAAAGACCTAGAATGGTCATCTTCAACTAATAACAGTTATTATCTCATGGCAGGCATCTGGGATTGAGGACAAGGAGTGAAAGAGAATTTTATTTCTATCTGTTTTTATGCACCCCTAACAAAAATGCATTAGTGTGATATTTGTGTAATTTAAAATAAAAATTTGAAAAATGAATAGGTGGTTTTCCTACTATCATTCCTGGCATCAGGTCCACAGTTGCTAAGGAAGAAAGAAGATTTTAACAGAGGGGCTTCGGAGATTGAGCAGAGGAGAGGAGAGGCCAGAACTGATGCTTGCAGCATGTTTTGCTTTCACCCCAGGTGGCAGGAGGATGTGGTACGTGGCCACAAAGGAGCCAGAATAGTTGAATCCCAAGACAACCAGACAGATGACAGATTGTTTCCACATCCAAAGACAAGCCACTCATAAGAACACAGCCCCAGGCCAGGCAGATGGCTCTAGCACTTTGGGAGGCCAAGGCAGGAGGATCACTTGAGGCCAAGAGGTTTGAGACCAGCCTGGGCAACATGACGAGACCTCATCTCTACCAAAAAAAAAAGGAAACAAAGAAAGAAAGATAAATTAACGAAGTAAAGTAAAATAAAATAAAAAATCACAGCCCCCTTACCTCCAGGCTGAGGAGAAGACACTGAATCGCTCGTTTTCCACATCGACACATGGGATGTTGGTGGGAGATCCCAAACTTTGGACTCTTTGGAAAAACAAAGGAAAACAGAAAACAGACTTAGGTAAATGCTTGTCTTCCTGCTTTTGGTACTCAACTGTCCCTATACTGACTTCTGTCATTAAAAAAAAAAAAAAAGTATGTGCTAGACACTGTCCTAAGTGACCTACATGGATTCTGTCATTTAATCCTTGGAAAGAGCCACAGGATAGGTGTTATTCCCATTCTACCAATGAGGAAACTAAGACCCAGAGAGATTAGGTAGATTAGCTAAAATCACACAAGCAGGGAAAAGGCAGGATTTGTACTTAGGCAGAGTGAAGCAAGAGCGCCCACATATATCACTCTATCATTTCCCTGTGTTGTACTATGACAAACACTGATTTACTTACCTTACAGATGTGTGGTTTCCTTTGCTAGAATATTAGCTCCATTACGGTAACACCTCCCATGTGAGTGCTTACAAACGTGCCAGGCACTCTTCTAAGTCCTTACATGCATGAAGTTACACAACTCTACAACAAACCTAGGAATAAACTGAGGCCAGGGATCCCAGGAAAAAGTAATAGAACTGGGGAATCAACCCCAACTGGTCCTCTCTAGCACCCCAAGGATGCCAATCGTGTCTTATTTCAGGGTATACCCCGTCCCAGGCCCCAGTAACTACCTAAAGAAGTTCTGATGGGTAGATGACAAGATAAATAATGAAAGAGTGACTGATTCTCCCCCCACTCTAAAAAGCCAGTGCGTTGAATGAGTAAACCCCTCAGCAGTCTCAACAAAGATTTGTGTGCATGAAATTAGAATGAGACATCTAAGTGCTACTTAGCCTAGAGTCGAAAAGCAAACATCCTAGAGATGTACCATGAGCTACTGCGGAGAACTGCACCAATCAAGAAGGGCCTTCCTTTTCCCTCCCTCCTCCTCTTCCTCCTCCTCTTTCTCCTCCTCCTCTTCCTCCTCCTCCTCCTCTTCCTCCTCCTCCTCCTCCTCCTTCTCTCTCTCTCTCTGTCTGTCTGTCTTAGCCACAAGAAGGAACAAACTACAAAGGCTGCCCTGAGGCCAATTTGCCACAGGGGGATTTTATGGCACAAAAGACCCAAAGAGGTTGTCAGTCATCTGATTCAGTAAGACTTTTTAGTAATTTCCTACTCCTCAGTCCAAGGGGTGAGGGAGGACAGAGAGGGTGAGTGTCTGCACACCTCTGGATGTCAGCAGGACAGTGTCTGCAGGAGACTCGGCACTACTCCAGGAGTCACTGGGGAGGACAGGTTCTGATTCTGGAAGAGAAAAAGGTTGGATAAAAGGCAGCTAAAAAATAACAGTGTTACTGTGTTTGTGGTGGGTGGCGGGATTTGAGAGTATCTTTTTTAATTTTTTAATTAATTAATTAATTTTTTGAAACAAAATCTTGCTCTGTCACCCAGGCTGGAGTGCGGTGGCACAATCTCGGCTCACTGCAGTCTCCACCTCCGAGATTCAAGCGATTCTCCTGCTTCAGCCTCCCGAGTAGCTGGGATTACAGGTACCCGCCACCACACCTGGCTAATTTTGTATTTTTAGTAAGGGATGGGGTTTCACCATGTTGACTGGGATGGTTTGAACCCCTGACCTCAAGTGATCCACCTGCCTTGGTCTTCCAAAGTGCTGGGGTTACAGGCATGAGCCCCTGCATCCGGCCACTTTTTTTTTCTAATTTATCTAATTTTTTAAAGACAGTCTCACTATGTTGTCCGGGCTGGAACTGACCTCTTGGGCTCAAAGGATCCTCCTGCCTCAACCTCCCAAGTAGTTGGGATTACAGGCTCGCATCACCATGTTCCAGGGTATTTTTATGGCTGTCTTGGTGCTTCTTTATATATTTCAAGTTTTCTTCAAGGATTGCAAGTAATTTTTATAATCAGGTAATTTTTAGAAACTATAAATGTTGTGTTTTATGGTAGTTATTTATTTTAAAGCCCAAAGGAATAAAAAAATACATACAAGAATTGATTGGCTCAGGGTTCATGGATTTTAGGTGACTATTCAGAGTATAATAGAATTAGCCAGTTCAATTTTGTAAAGCTATTTGAATTATCCAAGACTTCTTGAGGCAGCTGAAATGTCTAAGAACGCCTTCAAGCTATCTCATGATTGCTTTCCTAATTCTTACTGAAGAATCAGAGTCTGACACACAGTGACAGCCCTGACAAGCCCCCCTGAGCAATGGAGCAAGTCACTCAGTGAGAGGTACAAGTTGCAGGGTCAAGAATTCCAGGGAAAAAAAAAAAGAAACAAGGCTAGAACTAGCTCACCATCAGGGGATATTTTAAAGCGTCTGGAGGTCTTTCCTCAACCAATATCTAATGTTCAGGCAGCGACTTAACCCCTGAAAGAATGGAACTGGAGTCTGACCAGGAGTGACCTTTCCTGGTTCTTCAATAAACGTCTCTTGCAAGACTCCTTAGAGGTCAACTGGAGAACCCAAAATGCTGACTTTTCAAAAACACAAAGGAAAAGGCAGAAGAAAAGAGAAACCATGAAAAAAGAAAAGGAACAGTTTGGTGAAAACACCTCCTTACACACACACATGCACACACACACACACACACACACACATGCCTACTGTTAAGGAGTAAATCGTGTCCCCTCAAAATTCATATGTTGAAGTGCTAACCCTCAGTACCTCGGATGCAAATGTATAGTGAGATAGCGCCTTCAAAGAGATAGTTAAGGTAAAATGAGGTCATAAGAATGGACCCTAAACCAATACGACTGGTATTCTTACAAGAGATTAGGACACAGAAGGACAGACAGAAGGAAGACAGCCACCTGCACGCCAAGGAGAGAGGACTTAGAAGAAACCAACCCTGCTGACACCTTGACCCCGGACTTGTAAAACCCAGAGCAGTGGGAAAATAAATTTCTGTTGTTTAAGCCACCCAGTCTGCGGTGTTTGTTTGACAGGCCTAGCAAACTAACATACGCATGTGCACACACTCACACACACCGAGAGAGAGCAAGTCACTGGGCTGCCTCATTCAGTGAGACAGCTCTGTTCTAAGAAACCCAAGATACATCTGCGTACCTGCAGTGAGGATGGGCCCTTCCTTAGAAGGCTCAGGAGTCAGAAGACCTGTGGCTGCCTCTGGAAGGGCGCTTGGGGTTGGTGAAGGGCACGTGTTTGCTGTTGTGAAGACGGCAGTGGTTGTCATCTGAAGTGGTGTTTCGGTTGTGAGATCTGGTGTGGTCACGACTGTTGTTGGAAGTGCAGCTATGGTTGTTGTCACGTGTGGGGTGGTGGGGGGGCTCGTTGTTCTTGTTCTGCGTGTGGTTGTCGAGGCTGTAACCAACAACAGACATGTCTGGCACCAAGCGGAGATGGAGGAAAAAGAACATAATGCAAGTACATCTGGGACCCATCCATTTCTGTTGCCCTCACCTGGTCCACTGGCCTGGACCATTGTAATCCCCAATAAAATTGTGTTTCCTGCCCCCACCCTGACCCGTTCCTTCCAATCTGTTCTTCACACATTGGCTACAGTAATCATTTAAAATGTTAGCCAGGCGTGGTGGCTCACACCTGTAATCCCAGCACTTTGGGAGTCCGAGGCAGGCAGCTCACTTGAGGTCAGGAGTTTGAGACCAGCCTAGTCAACATGGTGAAATCCTGTCTCTACTGAAAATACAAAAATTAGCTGGGCGTGGTGGCGTGCACCTGTAATCCCAGCTACTCACGAGGCTGAGGCAGAAGAATCACTTGAACCCAGGAGGCAGAGGTTGCAGTGAGCTGAGATAGTGCCACTGCACTCCAGCCTGGGCAACAGAGTAACAATCCATCTCAAAAAAAAAAAAAAGTCAAATGTAATTATGTCCATCCCCTGCCTAAATCTTTTACTGGGTCCTCCTTGCCCTTAAGGTAAAGAACCCAGTCCTGCACCTTGGCCTGCAAGCTGCAAGCCTCCATTTGACCCCATCTTGCCTTTCTTTCCAATCTCATATCTCCACCCCCTGCTATCACTTTTTCCCACCCAACTGGTGTTTCTTTAGCTCTTTGAATACATCAGCAACTTTCCCGCTGCACGAACCTTTGTACCTGCTGCTTCCTATTCTTACTCTTCACGAGGCTGACTCCTACTTCACTCTCATGTCTCAGCTAAAAGGTTACTTCTGCAAGGAGGCCATGTAGATTCTCCAATAATTATTAGGCTTTTTTATTACATGCTCTCATAGTTTACCTCCACAGCCTTTACTGCATTTCATAACTGCACATTTATTTCATTGCTATTGTTTAAAGTCTATTTATCCCATTAAACTTTAAGCACCATGAGGGAAAATCTGACATTTATTTTGTTCTATGCTACAAATCCGATAACTATCACAGTGTCTTGCATATAGTAGGTGCTCCAAAAACATTGCATGAATGTGTAAATGAATTCATCAAAAGTGAGCTCAAAGTATGCAATCTAGAGTGAGAACGTAATCTCTTTCAGGCAGTAAAGATGCGTTCAAACTGACACCACTTACTCCCTAAACATCTGATTTGAGCTTCATTAGCCACCGTTTATGCTACAAATCTCATCCTCCCTAGAATATGCCAAATTTCCATGACTCTAATGGACCAGAAAGACACCATTTGTTCCAAGTGAACTTGGAAATGACCTCATAATATATTAAGGTCAAGTATTTCATAAAATAATAGCTGGTTATACCCAACTTGAAAAGAGAAGACTTGAGTAGGAGTCATCTAACTTCAATAAACCTCATTTCTCTCTTCTGCAAAATTGGAATACCTTTTATCTCACAATGTTGCCTTAAGAGAAAGACATAATAATATGTATGTAAGTTCTTAAATTAGAAGCATCTACATCAGTTGGTCTCAAATTTTAGAGTGCGTTAGAGTCACCTGAAAACTTAAGAATATAGGCCGGGCATGGTGGCTCACGCTTGTAATCCCAGCACTTTGGGAGGCCGAGGAGGTGGATCACTTGAGGTCAGGAGTTCGAGACCAGCCTGACCAACATGGTGAAACCTCATCTCTACTAAAAATACAAAATTAGCTGGGTATGGTGCCAGGTGCCTGTAATCCCAGCTACTCAGGAGGCTGAGGCAGGAGAATCGCTTGAACCAGGAAGTAGAGTTTGCAGTGAGCTGAAATCGTGCCACTGCACTCCAGCCTGGGTGACAAGAGCAAAACTCTGTCTCAAAAAAAAAAAAAAAGAATATAGATGTCTAGACTCCTGTCTTCCAAGGTGCCCATCCAGTTAGGAATAGAGCTCAAGGATCCTCCAGGTGACACTGACGCAGGTGGAATACAGAGCTCACTTTGGGAAGCTCCATTCCGGACAAGCACTAAAGGTAATTATTGTTAGCATTTTTCAACCATAGGCTCAATGCAGCTCAAATTTTTGAAGGCCCACCATATTCCAAATTTCATCCAAAGCAACTGATAGTAACAGAAGAAAGAGCTCCTGAAAACTGCTCTGTGTCCAAATCTCACGCCCTTTCCCCCCCAGCCAGAAGTGGCACGCTGTTGGTTTACTGCTTGAAGATGACCCCTGAATACATTTTACTTAGTTCATGCAGTTTTTTTATTATTTTAAAATCTGGCAACATGCAAAATTCAACAGAGTTCACATAAAAATTGATAGATCTGAAAATACTGGACCCAAATATCTGCAAGGTGGTAATCCCCTAGATACGTAGCAGCTGCCTCTTCAAATTGACCCTGCAATTCACTAGTTCCCTTTCCACCTTCCACTCATTTCTGTGACTGCTTTTGTGTTTACTTGCCTACTTCATGCCACGGCACCTTATTTCAAATTCAATCTTCCCACTCACCGTGAAAGCAACTCCAGCCTCTTCACCACCAGCCACTGATCCCATTATCCATTAACCACTGAATCTCTCTTTCTGCAGACATGAGGCACTTCATGTGCTTACCTCTCTGCAGATTCAGGCGCACGTTTATCTTTACATCGTTGAACCAGCCAGGCACCTCTATGCGGCAGCAGTACACACCGCTGTCACCTTCCCTGGGGTTCAAGATGGTCAAGGAGACATTGCCTCTCTGGATAGTCCCCGGAAGTCTATATTTTGCTGACTTTCTTGAGGTCACCCTCGTTCCATCAGTGCGGATGAGCGCCTCGTTGCAACCGGAGTAGGGGCACTTGTCTTTCCCCCAGCACATGCTGTTGCTGTTCGGAGACCAGGATGAGTACAGACAGGGCAAAGTCACCCGGTGACCCAAAACCTCCGTCACAACAGTCTCTGAAGTGACTGGTGCTGCAAAGGAAACATGCGAAAATTAGGTCGTGCAGTACTGAAATCTCTCAAATATACTACACAGTTTTTGTGCTAATAGATGCTTCTGGGAAGATGAAGAGACCTATAGTCTATGTTTCTTTTCTTTTCTTTTTTTCTTTTTTTTTTTTTCTTTTGTGATACAGGGTGTTGCTTCGTCACCCAGGCTGGAGTGCAGTGGTGCAATCATGGCTTACTACAGCCTCCACCTCCCAGACTCAATCCATCCTCCCACCTCAGCCTTCTGAGTAGCTGGGACCACAGGTGCATGGCAGCATTCCTGGCTAATTTTTGTGTTTTTTGTACAGACAGGGTTTCCCATGTTGCCCAGCTTATGTGGTTCTTTAGCATAAGTTTTGATGTGTCTTGCTGTTCTCCTGTGCTCCTAACTCCACATGATTCTATCCCCCAAGTGGTGCCAGGTGACCACTTCAATCTCTAACCATGGCAAGACCTTTTTGCTAATTTAAATACTCCGATTTGAGTTCCATTCACTAACCAGTAAACTCTCACATGAAAAATCCTGACCTTGTAACTCAATTTCACTTATTCATATAATCAGGTGGGCTGTTTTCCACAAGTAGATATTGTGGACATCAGACTTAAAAGCTTCAAATGGGTCTCCTAATCCAGAGAGTGCTATGAGAAAAAGATAGGCTGTGAAACTGTATTCCATTTCCTTCTCTCCTTTCAGTGGAAATAACTAGAATTGGAAATTACTTGCTTTGGACTATTTGTTTGCTGTTAGATAATATGAAGTTAGGTGGAGTTCAGGGACTATTTATTTATTTTTAATGGACAAATAATAATTTTGTGTGTGTGTGTGTGTGTGTGTGTATATATATATATATATATTTTTTTTTTTTTTTTTTGAGATGGAGTCTCGCTCTGTCACCCAGGCTGGAGTGCAGTGGCACAATCTCGGCTCACTGCAAGCTCCGCCTCCCGGGTTCACACCATTCTCCTGCCTCAGCCTCCCGAGTAGCTGGGACTACAGGTGCCCGCCACCACGCCCAGCTGATTTTTTTGTATTTTTAGTAGAGACGGGGTTTCACCGTGTTAGTCAGGATGGTCTCGATCTCCTGACCTCGTGATCCACCCGCCTTGGCCTCCCAAAGTGCTGGGATTACAGGTGTGAGCCACAGCATCCAGCCAATAATTGTGTATATTTATAGGGTACAATGTGATGTTCTAATATACATATACATCGTAGAAAGATTCAATCAAGCTAATTAACATATCCATCGCCTTACCAACTTAACAAATTTTTGTGGCAAGAACATTAAAAATCTATTAGCAGTTTTGAAATATACAACACGTTAATTACTGTGGTCACCATGCAGTGCAATAGATCACTAAAACTTAGTCCTTCAGTCTAACTGAAACTGTGTACCTTTTAATCAACATCTTCCCTTTCCCTATCACCCACTCACCCACCCCCCAGCCTCTGGTAATCACCTTTCTATTGTGTCTATGGGATTAACTTTTTTAGATTCTGCACATAAGTGAGATCTTGCATTTGTCTTTCTATGCCTTGCTTATTTCACTTTGCATCATGTATTTTTTTGTTAATTTTAGAGCTAGAAGGAACCACAGGAATTATCTAAAATGGCAGCTGTGCCATAAAAAAAAAAAGTACTGGAGGGTAAGGTTTACTGCATCAGCTATTTGAGATGGAATGTTTCTCCCTTTCTAAAATGAAGCATGATTGTGTCCTAACCACTGCTACTCATTAGCATGACCTAGGGAGCTTGTTAAAAATACATAGTTTATTGCCCAAACCTGAGCCTGAATCCCTGAGGCGAAGGCTGGTGCATATGTACTTGAATCAAGTTCTCCAGGCCACTCTGATGTAGTTGACTACTCATCCAGTATTTGAGAACCACTAGACAAGCTCCTCTAAGATTACTTTCACCTCTGATAATCTGCAAAACATTTTCACTGTTAAAATGTTAAGCCCGTTGGTTTAATTGTGCATTAGAGATTATTCTAAACCATTTCCTTCCCCTAAAATGCTATTGAAGTGAAAGCCAGGCAGCCTGTAGATCTCAGATTGTTGAGACCACACCCTGCTGCCCCTTGGGTACCTGGGTCCCTGCTCATTGTTTTCTCTGAGGCACCTTCCTGTGAGATTCTCCATTCACGAACTTTGCTGACTTAGTTGGCTAAGTTACAGAAGGCACGGCCGGCCAGCAGTGCTGTGCTCCTCCCTGACTCTGCTGGCAGTAACATCCAGGGATTCCTCTCTCTAGGAGAAGGTGGCCCTGAGCCCTAAGAGTCACCCATATGGTAAGCAAGACCATGTGCTTCTGGGGTTTTTCACAGCTGGCTTTTTTATTTTTTTTAAGACAGTCTCATTCTGTCACCTAGGCTGAAGCATAGTGGTGCAATCTCGGCTCTCTGCAACCTCCGGTTTTTCTTGTGATAAAAGATCATTCCCAGTTCAGACCAGCCTGCAGCCTTCCCTGAATTTAGTCTCTTCACTTTGCACAGTGGAAATGTTTCACAGATTATAAATGAAGTGGGAGGCTGGGCACAGTGGCTCATGCCCGTAATCCCAGCACTTTAGGAGGCAGAGTCTGGCAGATCACCTGAGGTCAGGAGTTCAAGACTGGCCTGGCCAACATGGTGAAACCCCGTATCTACAAAAATATAAAAATTAGCTGGATATGACGGTGGGTGCCTGTAAACCCAGCTACTCGGGAGGCTGAGGGAGGAGAATCGCTGGAACTCAGGAGGCAGAGGTTGCAGTGAGGTGAGATTGCACCATTGCACTCCAGTCTAGGTGACAGAGCAAGACTCTGTCTTAAAAAAAATAATAATAAATAAAAATAAAAAAGTCAATGCAGTGGGAAGTCCGTTTTGCCTCCCATGAATCCAGGAGAAAAATAAGAAGTTCATTGTCATCACCCTCAGCTGTGTTAACAACATAGAACACATGCACTTAAAATTAATAACTACTAAAATATGAACTTAGCCAAGTGTGGTGACACATGCCTACAGTCCCAGCTACTCAGGAGGCTGAGGCAGGAGGATGGCTTGAACCCGCGAGTTTGAGGCTGCAGTGAGCTATGATCGTATCACTGGACTCCTGGGCAACAAAGCAAGACTGCCTCAAATTCAAGAAAGTAAAAAGAAAAAATAGATGATCTTGTTCCTGTAAATATTTGGTAAATTAATAAAACATGTATAAGAAGTATTCCACTGGAGAATCAACATTTTATTTTCCCAAGTACCTTAGTATAAAAGGAGGCATCCTAATTGATAATAAGAAAAGATGTGGCTGGGTGCGGTGGCTCACACCTGTAATCCCAGCACTTTGGGAGGCAGAGGTGAGCAGATCATGAAGTCAGGAGTTCAAGACCAACCTAGCCAACATAGTGAAACCCTGTCTCTACTAAAAATACAAAAATTAGCTGGGTGTGGTGGTGGGCGCCTGTAATCCCAGCTACTCAGGAGGCTGAGGCAGGAGAATCGTTTGAACCCGGGAGGCAGAGGTTGCAGTGAGCCGAGATCACGCCATTTCACTCCAGCCTGGGGAACAGGGCAAGACTCCATCTCCAAAAAAAAAAAGAAAAAGAAAAAGAAAAAAGAAAAAAAGAGAAAAAGAAAGAAAAAAGAAAAGATCCAATAGAGAAACTAGCAGAGGACATGACAGACAATTCATAGATAAGGAAATAGGAGCAGCCAATAAATTTTGCCCATTAGACTGGCAAAAACTTAGAATACTGATAATATTGAATATTGGTCAAGGTGTGAGTAAACAGCGCTCCAAGACACTTGTGGGAAGGGAGTTAGGAAAGGACTTAGCCTCCTGAGACAAACCAGAGTGAAATGGGGGTATAAATTGGTACAGCCACACTGTGAGGAAATTTGATGGTTTCTATTAATTATTCACTATACATGAGTCCTAGTATGCCTTAGCAATTTCACGTTTGTTCTCCACCCTAGAAAAACACATGTTGACAAAGATGCTTATTTGCAAATGTTTATTGCAGCCTCCATGTATATGTGAATGAAATGGACAATGTATATATGGGGAATGGTAAACTGGGGCATATTTATTCCATGGAATTCTATGTAGATTAATAGCATTAGAGATAGACCTACATGAATTGGCATGAAGACTCCAAGCTCTTTAATGATGAAGAGGGCAAATTTCAAAACAAGACATAAAATATAAAACCCTTCTTATAAAATAAATAAATAAACCAATTTCTTTGTTTTTGTGGGCTCAGACATTTGAAAGTAAATGCACAGAAAAGTGTCTGGTGGGATAGACACCAAACTCAGTGTGTCAGTTACCCCCAGGATCAGAGAAAAGGGATTGGAATTGGGGATAGCAGTCCAAAGGGCATTCGGCTTTATAACATTTTAATTTTTTCACCAGGAGTATTTCTGCGTTACTCATCTTATTAAAAATTCACATAAGAAAAGGAAGCAGACAATGAGTATGGCAGGAAAAACAACCATTAAGCTCACATTGTAAACCCCATTCTGCCAGTTACTGCTTTTGTGTTGTTGGAGGAAAGCCACGATAATCCTGACCTCATTATTATCGCAAGGCAAAGGGGATAATACTCACCTCAGAAATGGTTCTGAGGTCCACATGAAGAGGAGTATCAAATGCCATGTGAAATTAACAAAGTATTAATATGTGTAACCAAGGACATTAGAATGTAGAAATAAGACAAAAAAATGGTTCCTGTCTGTTATAAAAGTATCCCTGAGTAAAGCAATTGTTGATATCAAATCAGTTTCACTTCTGTGGAGCTACCTGGAATGGTGGTTAGGTCTTTATGCCAGCTTGGTTCCTTCCTTAGCTGGTGAGCTTAAACAACGCTGGCCCTTCCCCAATCTGTCTCAAAATCACCATCTAAAGAGTGAAGGGCATCTTTTAAGAGTACATCCAGCTCTGATCCTTGGTAATTCTCAGCAGTCACTCTGTTTTAAGTTGGTTATCTTAGAAAAGGCACATATAGGCCCGGTGTGGTGGCTCACACCTGTAATCCCAGCACTTTGGGAGGCTGATACAGGTGGATCACTTGAGGTCAGGAGTTCAAGACCAGCCTGGCCAAGTATGGTGAAATCCTGTCTCTACTAAAAAAATACAAAAAATTAACTGGGTGTGGTGGCAGGTGCCTGTAATCCCAGCTACTTAGGAGGCTGAGGCAGGAGAATTGCTTGAGCCTGGGAGGCAGAAGTTGCCACGAGCTGAGATTGCACCACTGCACTCCAACTTGGGCACTGGAGTGAGACTCTGTCTCAAAAAAAAAAAAAAATTTGAAAAACAAAAGGAAAAAGAAAAGGCACATATGAAAAAACAAAATTAAAAAAAAAAAAACAGGTCACCAGGTGCTACCTCCTTCAAGCAGGATTAGAAAATCTCCCTCAACCAGTGTCCTGCCAGTAGCAGAACATGTAGACACAGACCCCTGCAACTTTCAACCTAACAAAACCCTCCAAACCTCAAGTTTCCAGGATAAGACAAAGACAGTAAAAAAAAAAAAAAAAAAAAAAAAAAAAAAAAAAATTTATGAACAGGCAAATAGTAGTCTTCTTACATCCAAACAAACCCATACCAAACCCAAAATAATAGTGTGAAAGTGACAGGGACTGCTTTCATTCTGTAGATTGTTTTTCTCTTCCTTTTTTTTTTTCTTTTTGAGACAGAGTCTCACTCTGTCACCCAGGCTGGAGTGCAGTGGTGCGATCTCGGCTCACTGCAACCCCTGCCTCTCAAATTCAAGCAATTCTCCTGCCTCAGCCTCCCGAGTAGCTGGGATTACAGGCACATGTCAACATACCCAGTTAATTTTTGTATTTTTAGTAGAGACAGGGTTTCACCATGTTGGCCAGGCTAGTCACAAATTCCTGACCTCAGGTGATCCACCCACCTCGGCCTCCCAAAATGCCAGGATTATAGGTATGAGCCACCACAACCGGCCTGTAGATTGCTTCTTCAGTGTCTATAATACATCAAGAGTGTAACGAGGTGCTGGAATATAACAAGCCACAAAGCAGACCTGGCCTCTGCTCATGGGGCCTGCAGAGTACCTGGGAAGAGAGGCAAGTGAGTGAGCATTTGCTATAGAGTGACAAGTTTGCAGATGCAGGAACTCCAAGGAGGATGAGAACTCATAGCAGAAACACCTAAACTAGTCCAGAAGCTATGGGGTAGCCAGGAAAAGCCTGACTTAAGTAGGGACCTGAGGATGCATGGCACTATGGAGGAAAGAAAGGCAGAGAGAATAGTATAATACGAGTTTGAGAGGTGAGGAAATACGTTTGTTTTCCCTAAAATGTGGGTGTTTTCTCATGCACCATGTTGGAAAGGTTTCTGCACATACAAAGAGTCAAAACGTAGAAGAAAAAGTGTTTAACATCGCTAATCACTGGGGAAATGCAAATCCAAACCACAATGAGATACCACTTCATTTCTGATAAAATGGCTACTATCAAAAAGACAAAAAGCAACCATTGCTGGTGAGGACACAAAGAAAGAGGAACTGTCGTACACTGTTGGTGGGACTGTAAATTACTACAGCCATTATGGGAAACAGTATGGTGATTCCTTAGAAAACCAAAAATAGAACTACCATATGATCCAACAATCCCACTACTGGAGATATATCCCGAAGAAAGGGAATCAATTAAAGAGATATTTGAACTCCCATGTTTATTATAGCACTATTCACGATAGCCAAGATAAACAATCGACCTGTGTCCATCAGTGGATAAAGAAAATGTGGTATACAGCTGGGTGCAGTTACTCATGCCTGTAATCCCAGCACTTTGGGAGGCCGAGGCGGGTGATCGCCTGAGGTCAGGAGTTCAAGACCAGCCTGACCAATATGGTGAAACCCCGTCTTTACTAAAAATACAAAAATTAGCCAGCCATGGTGGCTGGCATCTGTAGTCTCAGCTACTCGGGAGGCTGAGGCAGGAGATGCTTGAACCTGGGAGGTGGAGGTTGACGTAAAGCTGAGATCGCGCCACTGCACTCCAGCCTGGCAACAGAGCAAGACTCAGACTCAAAAAAAGAAAGAAAAAAAAAAAAAAGAAAGAAAGAAAATGTGATATATAAACACAGTAGAATATTCAGCCACAAAAAAGGAATGAAATTCTGTCTTTTGCAACAACATGAATGGAAACAGAGTTTATTAATATTAAGTGAAATAAGCTAGGCACAGAAAGATAAATATTGCATGTTCCCACTCATACATGAGAGCTAAAAAAGTTGATCTCATGAAAGTGGAGAATAGAATGATAGTCACTGGAGTCTACAAAGGATAGGGGAGAAGGGGTATGAAGAAAGGCAGGTTAATGGGTACAAAAATACAGTTAGTTAGAACATGTGGAAAAAGGGAAAAAATACAATTAAATAAAAGGAATAAGTCCTAGTGTTTGATAGCATAGTAGGGTGCCTATCGTTATTAATAATTTCTCGTGTATTTCAAAATAACTGGAAGAGAACATTTGAAATGTTCTCAGCACAAAGAAATTTAAATGTTTCAAGAAATGAATATCCCAATTACCCTGATTTGATCATTGTATATTGTATGTATATATCAAAGTAACACACATGTAGCCCATAAACATGTATAGTTATTATGTATCCATTTAAAAAAAGAAAAACATGGACTTTTGTAAAACTGCAAGGGCCGTTCAATATTATCTTGTCCTAGAAGCATAGATTGTGACCACTGGTCATTTAAAAAGCCAGGTCTCTCATTTCAAATATGTGAGAGTCAGAGCAATTTAGACATATTCCCAGTGTCAACAGTTAGTGCCCAAGACGCAGCTGCAGTGCAGGCCAGAACACGTGGCCCTATACCACCAGGATGCAAAGAACTTCACTGGCCAAAACTGAGTGTGTACATTTGTATCATCCAAAACCCAAAAACAACGTGCAGAAAAGAAACCTTACCATAAAGCCTCACTCCAGCAAAACAAAATGAAAAGCAAACAAACACTTCTAAAAACAGAGGGAATGGTAAGAATTATCACAGCTCTCACCAGAACAAATTCTCCTGGTTTATTGATTATATGAATAACACCCATAGAGGAAATCTCTTTTCCCCAATTTATCTAACCACTTATTTCAGTGTCTCTTCTTCAGTTGCCATTTCCAATACAAGCCCAAATTACCCCAGCCTAAAACCCCCAGATCCGTCTCTGGATATAAACCTCTGCATAACAAGACAGGATAGAGACCCTCCACAGAAGGAAGCCTGGTAGGGAGAGGGGAGGGATGCAGAAATGAAGTGAGCTTCCGCTTTACTGAGGCCCAAACCAGTGCATGGAAATCCATCACACAATAGCAAGTCCTCCAATAACTTCTACATAGAAGGTTTCAGAACACTTACTCAGATAAAGCCACCAAAACTCCATCACCAGCCAGAGAATGAGAGGTTCTTTGGACATTTTGATGGTTGACCGGACCCAGGAGTCTGTCTATGTATCCAAAGCCCAACCTCTTATATCCCAGTTAATGCTGACAGGGTTGGACTCTTTAGTTTCATTTCTCTTTTTGCCTCATAATCTTCCCTTTCTCCTGTCCTACATGGCTTCCCCCAGTTGGCGATGCATGATGAAATGTGCTGAGCCCTTTTCTCCTGGTGACTAGTGTGTGTGTGGAGGGATGGCGTGGACATACTTGTGCTTCTTTGTCCATGTGTATAGTGGATTTCCTATATGTGCACGAGCATCCATGCATGTGCTGGTGCAAATATGCCTGTATAACCTGTGCACGTGCCACAGATGTCCCAACTGCTGTACAGCCTGTCACAAAATGCAATTGACTCTCCACACTGGCAAGTGTTACATGTAGATTCCTCATGGGGCCAAAGCACAGTTAGACCGAAAGTTACTTCCATTCCCATTCTAGGTTCTCCCTCACCCTGTCCCCTGGCCTCCTTGCCCTAATAATGGAGAAAGAAAATTGAGGACAGGCACAGTGGTGCACATCTGTAATCCTAGCACTTAGGGAGGCCAAGATGGGAGGATTGCTTGAGGCCAGAAGTTTGAGACCAGCCTGATCAACATAGCGAAACCCCATCTTAATATTTTATTTTTTTAAATGTTTAATAAAAAATTTATTTATTTTTTTTAAGTTTTAGGAAGACACTGAAGCCCAGAACTTCCTGATTCCAAAGATTATGGTTAATCACTACATTGTCCTTCGACCTGTGACCCTTTGGGTACTGTGTCCATATGACCAAGCCTACCTGTGGCTAGCTCCTACTTAGTACCAGAGAGAAAATATAAGAATGCACAAATATTCTAGATTTTTTAAAATCCTCAATTGATTGTAACCAGCCAACAAACCTCAAACATTCAACATTGCTTCTACTGAAGGTATCAGTGAAAAATCTAAATATCAGGTGTGGTTCTAGACCCAGAGAAGCCAGACTAACATGGGAAGGGATGAAAATAAGGGGGATTCAGAGTGAATCTTCCCACTGAATGCCCACAGAACCAAGGGATCCTTTCCCCATTCTATCCCCAGGAAACTGGAGGATTTAATCTCTGGATAAACTAAATGGTCCCAATAAAACATTTTCAGATATTTATATTTTTGAGTGTTCCCCAACAAAACCACTCAACCCTCCTTCAATAAGTTCATCAGTGCATAAGCCTCAGCCATGCATGCAGAACTTTTAATTAGTTTTTAGTGTCACTTTCAGATATGAACAGATAACCAGGGATCATCAGACATTTGAGGAAAGCATTTAACATAAAAAAGAGACAAAAATAGCAGGGAGCACTAAGGAGAACTTCAAAAAAATTTTAAAGAGCTAATATTTTCTCAGAAAGGTTTTACATTCATGAAAAAGAACACAGACATTATAAAAATGAAAAATCAGAGAGTAGAAAAGAACTCTCAGAAATTAAAAATATTATACCTACCCCCGAATCTTATGGAAGGTTTGAAAAATAAAGTTAAGAAAATTTGTTAGAAAGTATAATCATCTACAAAGTCAAAGGACTAGGATTGTTTCAGAATATTAAAAAAGAAAACAGAGGAGAGGAAATTTCTAAAGAAATAATAAAAGAAAGACTCTTGCAACTAAAGTGACTCTCAGTATGGAGAGGGTCAATCAAATGCTAAACTCAATGAATAGAAATATCCCCACAAAGCAAGACATTATCATGTAATATGAGAACATCAGACGTAAAGAAAAGATACGAAAAGACTCTAGAGATAAAGAACAACATATTGCACTGAATGGATTCGGAATTAGAATGGCATTGGTGTTCCAAACAATAAAGCTAGAAAATAATGCATGAATGCCTTCAAAATTCAGAGGGGAGGCCGAGTGTGGTGGCTCACATCTGTAATCTCAGCACTTTGAGAGGCCAAGGTGGGTGGATCACTTGAGTCCAGGAGCTCCAGGTTAGCCTGGACAACATGGTAAAAACCTGTATCAGCTGGGCACGGCGGCTCACACCTGTAATCCCAGCACTTTGGGAGACCAAGACGGGCAGATCATTTGGGTCAGGAGTTCAAGACAAGCCCGGGCAACATGGCAAAACCCAGTCTCTACCAAAAATACAAAAATTAGCTGGGTATGGTGGTACACGCCTGTAATCCTAGCTACTTGGGAGGCTGAGGCAGGAGAATCACTTGAACCCAGGAGGCAGACGTTGCAGTGAGCTGAGATCGCGCTACTGCACTCCAGCCTGGGTGACAGAATGAGACTCCATCCAAAAAAAAAAAAAAGGAAAAAAAAAAAAAAAAAAGAAAAGAAAATCTGTATCTGCCAAAAATATAAAAAATTGGCCGGGTGTGGCAATGCACACCTGTGGCCCAACTACTCCAGAGGCTGAGGTGGGAGGATTGCCTGAGCCCGGGAGGTGGAGGTTATAGTGAGCTGAGGTTGTGCCACTGCACTCCAGCCTGGGAAACAGACAGAGACCCTGTGTCCGAAAAAAAAAAAAAAAAAGAGAATCCAGAGGAGAAATTTATTTTCAACCTAGAATCCTACCCCCAGACAATCTATTTCTCAAATGTAAGAGCATAATAAAGGCCTTTTTGGACACAGATTCAAAATTTACTTACCATACTTCCTTTCCTAGGAAGTTATGGAAGGGAAATCTGTAGCAAAACAGGAGAAATAACCAGGAAAGAGAAAGTAATGAGGTCCAGAAAACACATCTAACTCCAGCGAAGAAAAATTTCACAAAGAAAACTGCAGAACAGTCCTAGAGGGGAACTGTTTCACTGCATCACAAACCACCCCAAAACCTAGTGCCTGAACAATATACTTTTCATGATTCCCTGGGATGACAGTGTTCGGCTGGGTAGCTCTCACTTGGTGACAGTGGCTAGAGCTGCAGCTATCTCAAAACTAGATTGGACTATTTGTCCAAGATAACTTTCTCACTCACATGACTGATCATCCAAAATGACATTTTTAGCTAGACTCACATGTCTAGCAAATTAATAGAATGGCTAGAAGAGGTAGGGACTGGAATGACAACTCTCTCTCCACATGACCTTTCTACATGGGAACTTGGGCTTCCTTATAGTATGGCAGTCTCAGAGTAGTTGGATGTTTTACATAGCATCTGGCTTTCTCAAAAATTAGCATTCCAACGTGCTCAGGAATAATCCACAAAGGTTCTCATGACCCAGCCTTAGGTGACATTCAGTATCATTTTTACAGTATTCTATTGGTCAAAAGGCAAATTATAAAGCCATCCCAGAGAATTCAAGTGGAAGGAGCAATACAAGGATGTGAATACGAGGACGTGTGGTTCTTTGGGGTGGTAGGGGAAGCATCTTTGGAGAATAATTACTTTAATAACCAACTCAGGCTGGGGCAGAAGAGCAGAGGAATAAGCCTTGGGGTGGTGGTAGTGAGTGTTATGAATGAGCTCATGTACTTAGGTATTTTGAAAATAAATTTGATAGGTGTTTGGCAGATATGATGGAATACTTGGGATGATTTTTTTTTTTTTTTTTTTTAGACAGGGTCTTGCTCTGTTGCCCAGACTGGAGTGCACTGGTATGAACATGGCTTAGTAAAGCCTCAACCTCTGGGCTCAAGCAATCCTGTTGCCCCAGCCTCCCAAGTAGCTGGAACCACAGGTGTATGCCTCCACACCCGGCTAATTTGTTTAAATTTTTGTTTTGCCATGTTGCCCAGACTGGTCTCAAACTCCTGGTCTCAAGTGATCCTCCCATCTCAGTCTCCCAAAGTGCCAGGATTACAGGCATGAGCCACTGCTCACAGCCGTGGGATGAATTTTTGATGGATACTTGGGAAATTAAGAAAAAAAGACAATGAAGGCCAGACGTGGTGGCTCATGCCTGTAATCCCAGCACTTTGGGAGGCCGAGGCAGATGGATCACTTGAGGTCAGGCGTTCCAGACCATCCTGGCCAACATGGAGAAACCCCATCTCTACTAAAATTACAAAAAGTTGCTGAGTGCAGTGGCGCATCCCTGTAATCCCAGCTACTCGGGAGGGTGAGGTGGGAGAATCCCTTGAACCGGGAAGGTGGTGGTTGCAGTGAACCAAGATCGCACTACTGCACTCCAACTTGGGCGACAGAGCAAGACTTCATCTCAAAATAACAAACAAACAAAAAATGAGATAATTATTACAACCAGGAAAGATAAAATTTTGTACGAGAAAAGAAATGTAATTATGGTGCACTTGCTAAGTGTGAAAGATATTAACAGTTACATACTGATAATAATGTAAAATCTGGCTACTGGCTTAATACACAATTTTTATTTTTATTTATTTATTTTTTTTGACACAGGGTCTCGCTCTGTCGCCCAGACTGGAGTGCAGTGGTGCAATCTTGGCTCACTTCATGGAATACTTGGGACGAACCTCTGCCTCCAGGGTGCAAGCGATTCACGCCCCAGCCTCCCATGCAGCTGGGATTACAGGCACGCACCACAACGCCGGGCTAATTTTTGTATTTTTAGTAGAGATGAGATTTCGCCATGTTGGCCAGGCAGGTCTTGAATTCCTGGCCTCAAGTGGTCTGCCTGCCTCAGCCTCCCAAAGTGCTGGGATTACAGGCATGAGCCACTGTGCCCCGACTTAACACATAATTTTGATTTGACTACACTGGAAACATTGGTAGAGAGGAAGTGGGGTTGGGGTGTAAGAAAGCCAAAGTCTATTCATCTTTACAGGGAGTCAACAAATAGTGTCTCAAATTGGTCAATCAGACAATACCAGCATAAACACACTATGAGTAATATGAAGGTAAAAAACAGAAGAACAAGCTCAAAAGAGTTTAATGCAAAGAAGTGGGAAATAAATTCACTATTTTTTTTAGTTATAAACCTTTTACAACTTGACTATTAAAAACGCATATATTGAGGCCGGGTGTGGTGGCTCATGCCTGTAATCCCAGTACTTTGGGAGGCCGAGGTGGGCAGATCACTTGGGGTCAGGAGTTCGAGACCAGCCTTGCCAACATGGCAAAACCCTGTCTCTATTAAAAATACAAAA